GTGTGGAAAACAGAGGTGAGGGGTGGAGAGAGGTTGTTCTGCCCAGGAGGTGGGACCGAGGCACCCAGGAGCCCTTGCTCCAGCCACGTGCAGGGTGAGAGTCTTAGGACATGTGGTCTGAAGGACCCTCGCCTCCACTGGGGCCCTGGAGCTCAGACCTCAGCTCTGCTGTGAGGAGGGAGCTCAGTCACTGCAAGCAGCCCTATCCCCTTGAGCGCCCCTGAACCTGTGTGGGAAACACAGTTCTGAGAGGAGAGACCAGTGCTGTGGAAGGTGTGCTCTGGGGAGGAGAGGATGGGTGAAGCCACTCAGGGATCTGAGGGCTCAAGTTATAGAACAACTTGAGAAGGGCTTCTCCCCTGTGCAGTAGATCCAGGTGACATCACAGGTTAAAAGAAAGCCATCCCCATTACAGCTCCCCTGAACAGGCTGAGGGGCAGAAGCCAGGAGCTCCTCTGCTCTCCAGAAATTTGGGAGCAGGAACAGGCAGTACGGGAGGGGGCTAGGAGAAGGAAAACAGAGGTGGCGGTGTCCTCAGCCCACTCTTCACTTGCCTAAGGCGCCCCCACCAAAAGCAGGTGTTCTGCTAACACTCACCCCACACAGCCAGGCTCAAGGAGATGGGGTGGGAGCCCAGCGGGTGAATTCTCCTCTGTCCCCTAAAACCACCTGGGACAGCTCCACGACCTGGGGATGCAAGGGTTGGCAGGGGCCCGGGATCAAGCTGCCCTGGGACCAGCTCAGCTTGGCAGAAGGGCTGCTGTCAGCATCACAGACCAGGTGCAGGGACTGCCCTCCCCCACCTGCAGAGAGGTGGCGTTGCCCAAAATCTGTGGGACTAGGGAGACCGAGAGAGCTGGAGGGGCAGGGCTGAGAGGCCCTTCTCTCCCCATGTCCTCCCCCAGATCAGGAGAGGAAACAGCGTTTCTGAAACAAGCATCACAAGCAAGGGCAAGTAGGAACAAAGACCCCCAGCATACAGGGGTGGGGAGGCACCTTAATGATCCCGGGACAGGGGCATGGAAACATGGGGAGGACTTGGCTGTATCAGGACCTGGAGAGAACATCTCAAGATGACCAGCCTTGATGTATAAAACTGTGGAGGGCGCTAACCCTCGTGGTTCTGGCCTCTTGGAGGAACCAAGACAAGTGACACACTTGGGCTTTCTCCTGGGGCCACAGGAGCCAAGGGAGGAGCTAAGTAGGGATGAGACAGGGAAATATTTGGTTAGAAGTTTGGGACCCGAATTGTGGTCGCTGGAGGGAGCAAGACTGGAGGCTTCTAGGCCAGGAGGGAGGCGGCTGCAGGGCCAGGCATCACCCGGGTACAGGTGAACAAAATCAGAGGCCTGAGATGGGACTGTGGCCGTGAGAATGGAGGAAGGGAGGGATTTGAGACATTTTCCGGAAGCCAAGTTTGCGATGCTCTCGACTAATGGGAAGGCATCGATGAAGTTCAGAGATGCGTAAAGAGCTTTCCAGGACATTGACTGAGCTGACTCACATGGGTGGGGGCGCCTTTCAAGGGGAAGTGAATTGTGCTCAGAACAAGCTGGACCAGACAGAAGTTTGTGGGCATCTTCCAGGCAGAGGCAGGGCTAGGATACGAGCTTCCTGAAAGGCTCATGCAGAGAGAGGCTGGAGGCCCTGGGCCCCACTCTGAGGTAGTAGCCATAGCTGGGGTAAAATCATTCCAACAAGGATCATTGTTGCCTATTCCATTCATTAATTCCACATTTCCGGGACCCCATTTATTTCTTCTTTGTTCACCATTTACATAAATATTGACTAATGACAATGCCTAGACCTGATTAGATGAAGTGGTCGACAGGGTAATGGCCCCCAAAGATGTCCACTTGCTAATCCCTGTGAAAGGAGTTAGCCAGCTTGCTTTAGGCATACAGTAAGGGAAGGGTCCCTAGAGAACCTCTGACCCACCTTATAAGCAGTTACAGCAGATGTCTTATGCAGATAAGGGAACTTGCACAGAGGGTTTGCCTGAACACCCCAGCAAGGGACTAAGGGCCCATATATGCACTTGGGGAATGGGGTGGAGCCATCAGGAATTTGCACCTTATACAAACAGGAAACCCAGCCCCCATCAGCTTATATAAAAGCCCTTGTGGCCAGTTGCGGTGGCTCATGCCTGTAATGCCAGTATTTTGGGAGGCCGAGGTGGGTGGATCACTTGAGGTCAGGAGTTCAAGACCAGCCTGGCCAACATGGTGAAACCCCATCTCTACTAAAAATACGAAAGTAGCTGGGCATGGCGGCTCACATCTGTAGTCCCAGCTACTCAGGAGGCTGAGACAGGAGGATCGCTTGAACCCAGGAGGCAGAGGTTACAGGGAGCTGAGATCGCACCACTGCACTCCAGCCTGGGCAGCAAGAGCAAGACTCCTACCCCACCCGCCCACAAAAAAACACAAAAAAACAAAACAACAACAACAACAACACCTTTTATTCAGCTGTGAGGGGGTAAGCGAGAACCTGCTTTCAGGAACCCTCTCTTTGCTGAGAGCTTTCCTTTCACTTAACAAATTCTACTCCACTCTCCCACATGACTCATTTTCCTGGTCATGAGACAAGAACCTGGACCTAGCTGAGCTAAGGAGCCAACAATCCTGCATCACCTGGAAGCTGTGAATATGTTGCCATACAAGATAAAGGAGCTTTTACCCTGCAGAGCCAAGAGCCAAGAGTTGCAAAAAAAAAAAAAAAAAAAAAAAAAAAGACAAAGGGACTTTGCATATGTGATTAAGTTCAAGTTCAGGATCTTGAGATAGGCAGAAGATCCTGGGTTATCCAGATGGGCCCAGTGTCACCACAGGGTCCTTATAAGAGGGAAAGGGGGAGAATCAGAGTCTGAGAGAGAAGATGTGAGGATGGAACAAAGGTCAAAGAGGAGAAAAGATGCCATGAAGTTGACTCTGACAACCGAGAAATGGGCCATGAGCCCAGAAATGCAGGTGGCCGCTGAATGGTAGAAAAGGTGAAAGAACAGAGTCTCCTCTGGAGCCTCCAGAAGGAACCAGCCTTGATTTTATAGCCCAGTGAGTCGTGTTCCACCCTTCTGGCCTCCAGAACTGTAAGAAAAGAAATTGTCTTGTTTCAAACCACGAACATTGGGGTAATTTGTTAGAGCAGCAACAGGAAAATAGCACAGGTGAGGACTAATCGCACTGCTTCCTCCCCAGATCCCACAATAAACTCAGAGCTAGTCTTTCCATTTTATGTAAAAGGACATTACGGCTGAGGAATTACAGATAATCTCTCCGCGTTGGCGCACTTGGTGGTGATGGATTGAGGATCCAAATAAGGAGTCAAAAAATTATGGAATTCGACAGAGGGCCCCTGAGGCCTGGGCAGGGCAGGTGCAGCTGAAGAAGGAGTCCCAGGAAGAGGCCCGCCTGGCCCTGATCCAGGTTACTCTCCGGTGCAGGGAGCAGACAATAAACCATGAACGTAATTATGCAGTTGTGAGTTATTGCTTGATGGACAGGAGCCGGTGCAGTGAGAGAAATAGGGTCCCAACATGAGGCAGCCTCTCGAGTGCAGGAGGCCCAATGTTGTGGGCAAACGGGGTCTGGATACCACGGTAAAGGGACGTCCACAGGAATAAGCAGGGAGGCCGATGCAGCCTAGTTCTCAGCTGGGTCCTCCTCATTGGATTCTCCTGGGGCTCTGTCCTGTGAACTTCTCCTCTCTACCTGCAATCAGCTCTTCCCCTTTCAAATACCTTTTACTTTTGGTAAAAAGAAAATGCAGAACATAAACATCACCATTGTCATTATGTTTAGGTGCACGGTTCAGTTCTGTGAAGCATATTCACTTTGTTGTACAACCAATTTCCAGAAATCTTCCATATTGCAAAATTCACTCTGTACCCACTAAACAGTGACTTTCCATTTTCCCTCTCCTCGGTGCCTGGCAAGCACCACTGCACTCACTGCTTGTGTGAATATGACTCCTCTAGGAATCTCAGTAGGTGAAACTGCACAGTATTTGGCTTTTCATGACTGCTGTATTTCCCTTAGGATAACGTCCTCAAGGCCCAGCCCTGTGGTAGCAGGTGCCAGAGTTTCTTTTCTTTTTAAGGCTGACAGATTCGAATGTATGATTTCACCACGTTTTGCTTACCCGTTTGCCTCTCCAGAAAAGACTGGGTTGTTTCCATGCCTTGGCTCTGGCCAATGATGCTGCCATGAACACGGGAGTATAAATATCTATTCAAGTTCCCACTTTCTTTCTTTCTTTCTTTTTTTTTTTTTTCTTTTTTTCTTTTTTTGGCTTTTAATGAAAAGAAGCATTGATTTCTGTTGTCTGGGAAATCTGAGGGGTAGACCTAGCTTTAACTGTGGCTGGATTTCAGGGTCCGATGACAGAACGGCTCATCTCTCTGTTTGCTTTTGGTTCATTGTTCTTGTTTGTTGTTGTTCCTGCGGTTGTTTGTTTATTCTGCCTGGTTTTTGTTCTCGGGCTCATAAACGTAGGAGTTCTGATGTCCACTTTGCAGATGAGGACGCTGAGGCACATAGAGATCAAGTAATTTCCCTTCTGAGGCAGAGTATGTGGACTTCCCACAGCCTTGAGACGCCCCCTTATGTCTGTGTATCCAACTCAACATTCCTTGGTCAGGGCGCCCCCTGTTGCTCACCCAGAGAGTTACCGGGATCCCCGCACCAATCTCCTCCACCCTTTTTGACCCCCAAATGCTTCCTGACACCTGACTCCCACCCTGTCACTCAGAGACTAACCTGTGCCAGGATTTACAATCTCGCCGGGAGCGGTGGCTCACGCCTGTAATCCCAGCACTTTGGGAGCCCAAGGCGGGTAGATCACCTGAGGTCAGGAGTTCGAGACCAGCCTGGCCAACATAGGTAAATCCCCATCTCTGCTAAAAATACAGAAATTAGCTGGGCATCGTGGCGGGCACCTGTAATCCCAGCTACTTGGGAGGCTGAGGCGACAGAATCCCTTGAACCGGAGAGTCAGAGGTTGCAGTGAGCCAAGATCGCGCCATTGCACTTCAGCCTGGGCAACGAGAGTGAAACTCCGTCCTAAAAAAGAAGAAAATAACAACAACTAAACAAACAAACAAAAAACAAACCCCCAAAAATAAAGATTTACAATCTTACCAAACAGGAATGATAACTATAGGAAGTAGTTATTATCTGAGGTTATTCGTAATGTTATTTATAGTTAATGACACTTTTTTTTTACCCACTTCCATTTTCTCTGGAAGCCGTTTGGGGCGTCCTGCCTCTCACCTTCTCTATCCACTTCTTACCCCTACCAGGAGGTTGTAGACAAAGATTAGGGTTGATGCATTGTGCAACTCTATGGCTCCCCCTAGTGGTGTGATGCATTTGGGGTGGTGGTGTTTGCCCAGACAGGGCCCCAACGATGCGGGTAGGGAGCGGGTAGGGAACCCCACCTTGTGTAAAACACTTCAAAAATCCCAGGTTAACATTCCATTTGGTCTCCAGGCCTGATAAATGGGGAGGAATGGCTGTTCATTAGTGTCCATTCTGGTTGCACCAGGCAGGACTTTGCCCTGGGAGGGACTGTGACGTTCTGCTCTCTTGATAAGAAGGTACAAAGCTGGGCTCCAGAAATGGATTGAGAGCGCCTTGGGTCTGCTCCCCAGGCTGCCTCCTGCCCCCAGGTGAGCCCTGGATACTGCTATTCCTGACTGAAGAGACAGGGTTTTTTGCACAAGGTGTTCCAGGAGGCCAGATTTCTCTCTGGGCAAGGTTCATGTGTTTCCCACACAAATCGACTGCTGGGATTCATCACGGATCTACAAATGGGACTAGGCCACAGCTGTTCATGCTGCTGTGTATACAAAATAGTGAACCCTGATATAAACGATGGACTTCGGGTGCTAATAACATGTCAGTGGAGGTTCATCAAATATGACAGAGGTACCACTCTGGTGGGAGATGCTGATAATAGAGGAGGCTGTGCATGTGTGGGGGCAGGTGGCACATGGAGAATCTCCGTACCTTCTGCCCAATCTGTGAACCTAAACTGCTCTAAAAATTAGGTCTATTCCGTCATATGCTTCTGGGAAAAATTGTCTATATATTTTTTTAAAATGGAGAGAACTGGCTGGGCATAGTGGCTCAAGCCTATATCTCAGCACTTAAGGAGGCTGAAGTGGAAGGATTGCTTGAGTCCATGAGTTTGAGATCATCCTGGGCAACATAGGCAGACTCTGTCTCCACCAAAAAAAAAAAAAAAATTAGCTAGGCATGGTAGTACATGCTTGTGGTCCCAGCTACTCGGGAGGCTGAGGTCGGAGGACTGCCTGAGCCTAGAGGGTTGAGGCAGCAGTGAACCATGATCGTACCACTGCACTCCAGCCTGGGCAACAGAGCAAGACCCTGTTTCAAAACAAATTGAAAAAAGCTTAATGCTCCCAAATAGGGTATTGGTTGAATAAGTTAACACACATCAAATTCAGTGGAATACTATGCAGCCATGAATAATTAACAGTAATGGTGCACAGCTGTGCTTCTCCAGTGAGAATCCAGGACCCAAGGGCAGGGGGCAAAACGTGTTTCAGAGGACCTAAAGCAGAAGGTCCACTTTGCACATCTTCTGGGGCTTCCATTGATACTCAAATACTGAGTCAGGTCAATCAAATAGCTTCAGTGACAATGAATGCTTTATTTTCCTATTGAAACTAACAGAAACGTGTTTTTCCATAGGCCACAAACATTCATATGGATTTTCAGAGTACAAAGAAGACTTTAGAGACATTTCGTAAATATATCTAGATACAGAAGACTTTAGAGATATTTTGTAAATATATGCTAGACACCCATAGCTGTATATTCACCTTCCTCTGATTAAATCTGCCCTTAACGTTTCAGAATTCCTAATAAAGAAGGACATTTAAGAAAATGATCCCACTTTGGTAAACATTATGTGTATGTGCATGAATGTATATAACACTTCAAAACTGAAAAGAGCGGATGGCAGATTGCAGGCATTGTTAGCAGGGCTCTCCCACCTTGGAAAGATGAAACAGTGTATAAAGATTTATGTTGTGAGCTTTTTACCAGAGAGCAACACAGGAACTTAACAGGAAAACTGTAAGAAACCACAGACCTTTCTAAAGAAGCAGTGGGCAGCAGCCTACACCATGAGCCAAGCAGAGAACTGTGAGTCCCCGCAGTGTGGGCAGGGGAGAGACAGACTCAGGGATGTGCACTCCCACTGGGGTGCCGCACGGTCCAGGCCACAGGACGGGGGAGCCTTCACCCTGCCCAGCACTGGAGCTGATTTAGGGAGCACTGGGGAGTAGATAATGAGGAAAGAGAGAGACCCTCTCATATTGTTTTATATTGTTTTATACTCAGCACCTGTTTTAAGTTAAAAACAAGGAAGTAAAACCAAAGACAGGCAGCCCGGTGCCAGGCCCCAAACCAGGCCTGGGTCTGCCTGGCCTAAATCCAGTAGTTACAAATCAACTCATAACTTAGAAACCGATGTGATTCATAGATTCCAGACATTGTATAGAAGAACATTGTAAAACTCCCTGCCCTGTTCTGTTTCTCTCTGACCGCCGGTGCACGCAGCCCCTGTCATGTACCCGCTGCTTGCTCAAATCAATCACGACCCTTTCATGTAAAATCTTTAGTGTCGTGAGCCCTTAAAAGGGACAGAAATTGTGAACTCGGGGAGCTCGGATTTTAAGGCGGTAGCTTGCCGATGCTCCCAGTTGAATAAAGCCCTTCCTTCTACAACTCGGTGTCTGAGGGGTTTTGTCTGCGGCTCGTCCTGCTACAGTAAGAAGGAGCCACACTGGGATGTGCTCGGCATGCACTCCCAGGCTCCCGCAGGGACAGAGGGAAGCCATTCCCGATGCTACCTCACAGGGGACCTTGCAGAAGCCAGCCAGCTGACTCAGGAGACGGTCACGGGTTGAGAGAAGCTCCGGACGGAGATTTGCAATATCATCTTGAGTGGGGAAAGGAGCGTTGTCCAAAATCTAAGACTCATAGGTGCTCCTGAGGGAGAAGATAAAGCAAAAAGTTGAGCAAATTCATGATTGGAAAGATACAGAGTCAACCTAAGTGCTCTTCAACCCGAAGGAAAGGCAACAAAAGAATACACATCCCTGAGTCAGTCTCTCCCCTTCCCACACTGCGGGGAGTCACCGTTTTCTGCCTGGCTCATGGGGTAGGCCGCTGCCCACTGCTTCTTTAGAAAGGTCTGTGGTTTCTTCCAGTGTTCCTGCTAAATTCCTGTGTTGCTCCCTGGTGCAGCTGCAGCGGAAGTAGATTAGACAGGCGGTTCGCTGTCTCCCTTAAAAGGAAACAAACTTGCTAAATAGACGGAGAGAACAAACCGCCCGACATCGCCCAAACCGCATTCTGGGCTCGTGGTCAAAACACCCTGCAGCAAGGAGGTAGAAGCGAAGAAGGGAAATTCCCCAAATTCGTGCAAATGCGGAAACCCATGCTGAGTTAGTGTCCTCGGGCTGACCTAGGCTCGTTACAATAGTGAAAACACACCCCCACGTGGAGACTTAAGGTGCTAATGAGACAGCGAGGTATGCACTAGCGTGTACAGCCACTGCGCATGCGGGCCTAAGAGACCACCCGGAAAATGCTTAAGAGCAACACCGTCCCACCCCCGCATGAGTAATCACGGAAGATTCCCCTAAAGGGAGTTTCCCCAGCGTCAGTCAGTGCCGTCTCATGTTTGAGCAGTTGTCAGGGTACACTTTCACTTTGCCATTAACTCTCTTGCTTACTTTTACCTTGGACTCACTCTCAAGTTCTTTTTTTGAGGCAAAGTCAAGAACCTGAACTCGCCCACCAGCCAGAGCAGGGGAGACCGTGTGTGCCGCGATGCAGGCAACACTCATGCCGGGAATGGTCAGGATGGCACCAGCTTATTGGATTTTTTTGTTGGCATTTGTGTTTGTTTCTCTACTCACCACCCAAGTGATAAAATAGGATCCTTGTTGCGGAACTTAAAATTATCCCAGAAAGCCCGCCTTGGGGACTTGTCTTTAAATTGCCTGGTTTGTACGTTTCCGGCGGGACGCATGAAGAAACAATCTGCGACAAATCTGAGGGTCTTCCTTTCAGCCTGCCTCCCACACTAAGAAAAGTCGGTGTTTCCCTCCTGGCAATTGTTGTGAATTTCTCTTTATCTAGGAACTGTTTTGGTTTTGTTTTTAGTTGCTCTGTGCTCCCTCTGAATCAAAGCTTCTAGCACTGCCGGTGAAAACCACAAAGGGACCTGCTTGAGGCGCCATCCTGGCCAAGAGAGCAAACCTGCAGGAGGTTTGGAAATGGACTTGGTCCCTGCAGAAGCGTGTGCACTATTAGGGGATGAACCGTGTCACAGCCAGAGGCACGAAGCTCATATTGTAGGTGATCCAGGAGACGTGAGCTCCCAGAGCTTGTTTGGCACATTCATTTGCACACTGTTGTCGGGGTTGGAATGTGTACTGAGCTTCAATGTGAGGCTTGTGATATGCGTTTCCTGTTTATCAATAAAAAAATTATCGAAGTGGATGAATCCTGTAAGATGATAAATGTGTGCTAATCCAGTGCACTTGACTCTTCAACCCCTTCTTTCAATATCATTTTCATATGAAATCAGGCTTCAATGTGAGGCTCGTAATATGCGTGTCCTGTTTATCCGTTAAAAAAAAAATTATCAAAGTGGTTGAATCCTGTGACTTGGCAAGCGTGTGAGAATCCAGTACACTTGACTCTTCAACCTCTTCTTTTAATGTCACTTTTATAGGAAATAAAAGTAACCAGTATGACAATTCTCAAAAAAAAAAATAAAAATTAGGCGGGGTCCTGAGCAGGAAAACCAAATGAAAAAGCAGAAACAGGGCGCCTGGAAATCTGAGGCTTTGCTGTGCTTTTCCGTATTTCGCAATTTTCCCAACAGTGAGCTTTGATTTTTGTGTTTTTGTTTTCTGGCTTGCTTTATAACAAGGTCAACATAATGTAAGCAAATATAAAAATAAATAAATAATAAACTAAAGGCAACATAAAGTTATAAAGATAAGGTTGGGCTCCCAAGAGCTGCCCTCCCCAGAGCCCACCCCTGCTGGTCAGAGTCCACCCTGGGCAGGAAAGGCCACCCTGAGGGCTTGGAGACGAGACCAGCAGCCTCTGTGCCAGGAGACAGAGGTCTAGGAGGGAGCAGAGGAGGCAACTGTGTCTCTGGAGGGACCCCTCCTCCTGGAGGACCCCAGGCAGCTCATAGACCTTTCAGACCTAGACGGAGCCTGTGGAGGAGGCTCATGGGTAAGAGATGCTGGATGCTGGATGAGCTTCCCAGGACTGAGGGAAGGGCAGCTGGGACCAAAGGAGGGGAGGAGGCTGGGACCATCCCCATTCAGAGGCTCAGTCGGAAACTCCCAGAGCAGGGGTGGAGGAGAGGGCAGGGGTCAGGACCTTCAGCAGGACTTTATGAGCTCACACACTGGCACACCTCACCCACAGACACAGCTCTGCACAGACCCAGAGATGTGTTACACTCACTCAGACACACACACACACACACAGCAAGAGAGAACATGCATTTCTATCCATGTGCAGGAGCCAGGAACTTGGACCCCCACCCTCACCTCTGCACTCACCTCTTGCTGGGTGGGTTGTGTTCTTGCTGAGTGATGTGGGACAAGTAACTTCACTTCTCTGAACCCTAATTTCTTCGTCTGCAATTGGGGTTAAAATATCTGTCTTGCTTGGCTGTTAGGACAGTTAAAGATATTACTATCTAGCATAGGGCCTGCCATGTAATAGGTGTGAAATAAATGATTGCTATTTTCCCCATTATTATTGTCACTGGTAATGAGGGCAGCAGTGCCAAGTCCTTTCTCAGCTTCACCCGGCCTCTTTCCCCCCACACAATGGCATCTGCCTCCAGCGCCCTCAGAAATCTTTAAAAGTGTGTTGATGTTGAGGACTCTTCGTGCAGAGGTGAAGCCCCCAGACCATCCCCTCCAACTCCTAGGGTCCCACGTGGGGAGGGATTAGGCTTGGACTTGATGAGAAGTTGGGCCCCTTCCCCTCTCTCTACCCAGGACCCCTCCTTTTTTTTTTTTTTTTTTTTTTTTTTTCTCCTTCCTTTTTTTTTTTTTTTTTTTTTTTTTTTTTGAGACGGAGTCTCTCTCTTTTGCCCAGGCTGGAGTGTAATGACGGATCTCCACTCACTGCAACCTCTGCCTCCTGGGTTCAAGAGATTTTCCTGCCTCAGCCTCCTGAGTAGCTGGGATTACAGGCATGTGCCACTGTGCCCGGCTAATTTTGTATTTTTTGTAGAGATGGGGTTTCTCCATATTGGTCAGGCTGGTCTTGAACTCCTGACCTCAGGTGATCCGCCCACCTTGGCCTCCCAAAGTGTTGGGATTACAGGCGTCAGCCACTGCACCTGGCTGGGTATACTATAATCTTTTATTTACTCACCTATTAATAGACATTTGAGATTTTCCTGGTTTTTACTATAGGTATTCAAGTAGAATTCTTTTTATAGACATGTTTTTATACTAACAAGTATGCACAAGATGTGGAATTATTAGTTCAAAAAATACCTGTATATTTAATTTTCGTAGGAATTGCCAAACTGTTATCCAAATGGTTTTGACTTTTCCCACTCCTCCCAGCCATGTGCCAGAATTCCAGCAGCTCCACACCCTCATTGACACGTGGTATTTTCAGTCTTTATATTCTAACAAGTCTCGTGAGAGTGTAGTAGCATCTTGTGTTTTGAATTTAGGTACCATCAATTTCACTATTTTTAATAAGCAATTCCATGAGGTTTGACAGGTGTATACAGCTATATACCTGCAACCACAGTAAAGAGACTGCGAAATGCCGTTACTTAAAACACTCCCTCCTGCTGTTCCTTGGTGGGCAACTTGCCCTCTGTGTTTAATTTCTATAAACAGGCTAATTTCTTCTTCATCCCTATTGGTGTGCCTTTTAAAGAATGTCATGTAAATGGAATTATACAAAATGTAGCCTTTATTTATTTATTTTGAGACAGTCTTGCTCTGTCATCCAGGCTGGAGTGCAGTGGCACAATCTCGGCTCACTGCAACCTCCACCTCCCTGGTTAAAGCAATTCCCTGCCTCAACCTCCCAAGTAGCTGGGATTACAGGTGCATGCCACCATGCCTGGCTAATATTTTTGGATTTTTAGTAGGGACAGGGTTTCGCCATGTTGACCAGACTGGTCTTGAACTCCTGACCTCAGGCAATCCGCCCACCTTGGCCTCCCAAAGTGCTAAGGTTACAGGCGTGAGCCACTGCGTCCAGCCTAAAATGTAGCCTTTAAAGTTTGGATTCATTCACTTGGTGTAATGCATTTGAGGCTCAGCTATGTGATTGGGTATATATATGAATAATTCGTTTTTTTTTTAAATTGCTGACTCATACTTCATTGTTTCCCACAGATCCCCCATTTTGTATTTATTCACTGTTTGATAGATATTCAGAATGTTTCCAGGTTTTGGTGAATATAAAATAAAGCCAGTATAAATATTCCCATGCAGATTTCTATGTGTGGACACTAGTTTTTATTTCTCTTGCATAAATACCTAGGAGTTGGGTGCTTAGTCACATGTGTTGGCTATAAGAAATTGCAGCTGGGCGTGGTGGCTCACGCTTGTAATCTCAGAACTTTGGGAGGATGAGGCAAGTGGATCATTTGAGGTCAGGAGTTCAAGACCAGGCTGGCCAACATGGCGAGACCCCATCTCTACTAAAACTACAAACATTAACTGTGTGGTGGGTGCCTGTTATCCCAGCTACTCAGGAGACTAAGGGCAGGAGAATTGCTTGAAACTGGGAGACGGGGGCTGCAGTGAGCCGAGATTGTGCCACTGCACTTCAGCCTGGGTGACAGAGTGAGACTGTGTCAAAAAAAAAAAAAAAGAAAAGAAATTGGCAAACTGCTCTCCAAAGTGTGAGTGCCACTTTATATCCCCACCAGCAAAACACATGAGTTCTGGTTGCTCTACATTCTCACTAATATTTGGTATTATCAGGAATGAGTAAAATTTATTTTTCTTTTGGTTTTGTTTTGTAACCATTCTAATAGGTATATACTGTGACCTCATTCTGGTTCTAATCTACTATTTCATAACAGCAAATGGCATTGGGAGTGTTTCCGTTCATGTGATTATTTGCCATGAGTTTTTCTTCTTTGATGAGGAGGCTGATCAAATCTTTAGTGCTTTTTGAAATTTGTCGTAAAATACACATAACAAAAACTTACCATTTTAACCATTTTTCAGTGCACAGGTAAGTGGCACTAAGTACATTCACACTCTTATGCAATTATCAATCATTGATCTCCAGAGATTTCTTCATCTTGCCAAATTTAAACTCTGTACCCTCTGAATGATAACTCCCTATCCACCCTGCTCCCAGCCCATGGCAACCAACTTTCTACTTTCTGTCTATGAATTTGCCTATTCTAGATACATGATATAAGT